AGCACGTTCGTACCCTCATTCAGGAGGCTGGCCTTTCGTCACTGGGAGAGGAGGCGGGTAAGCAAATGTGAAGTAACTGCCTCCAAATTGTCTTGTGCTGTGTTGCTCTGTTTTAGGAAAAAGTGCCATTAATCCAATCCATTTAATAAATACATAAATAACAGGGAAATAACCGCAGTGCTGAGATGCTGGCTGCATTTTGCTGAACAGACGAGGCTTTGCGCCAGTGCTGAGGAGCCATCAAGTGAAGACATCCCACCTACTGTGGCAGCGGGGGTGGTCTCCCACCTGTCACCAACAGCCTGGGGCCCGAGGAGGCAGCTCTCTGAACTCGCGACTTTAGTGAGCGCTCCCCCGCAGAGCCTCGCCGTTCGCTGTTCTGAAGACAGAGACCTCTGCGAGCGGAGCACGCGCTCCCTGCATATCACGAACATCGAGCAAGACGGGAGACGGGGCACGTGAATTTCGTTTCTCAAGGAGAACAGCACTAAAATCGTTGACTAGGGAGAATGTTTCCAATGGAGCAAGGCAATCAATCCCCAGGAGCTGAGATCTATGTACATCGTGTATTACTAAACAGCTTCCATCCTCTGTACTTTTACAGGCTGTCCCATAAAGTTGGTAACATTGAAGGCTTCTGAGCTAGCTTGAGAATGATGTTGATTAGAATAATATGCATTATTTTCTAATCATTCCCTGCACCATACGACCCACACCTTCCTCCCTTCTAGCCTGCTTGGAGGGTCAGCCTCAGATGATGGGAAGGGAGGCCAACTGGGCCTGGCTTTGAGGCTCCCCAGAGCACCCCCAGTCTGCTGAATGTGGGGCGACTGTCCTGTGGGTCTTGCTCTGTCTAACTCAAGGGAAGCTGGGGCACCCTTCCTCGAGGGTCTTGCTGCCTAGCTGGCCAGGAGTAGACTGTGGATGGAGCCACACACTCTGAGGTCCTTCCCAGGAAGGAAAGTCTTCCAGCCTCACAGGGGCCTCCGTAACCGTCACTCAAAGGCAGGTAAGCAGCCCTGGTGCTCAGAAACCACAGCAGCCCTACAGAGGGAACGCTTTGCTTGACGGGACCTTTCAGTACTGTCTTTGTTGGGATTCTCCCAGGGCTGTTTATCGGGAAGGTTCTGGAAACACTGGAGTGGAGGGGAAGTTCTACTGGAAGGCAGCCAATGAATGCTGCGTTTGCAAGCCGGCTGCCGTGGCGGGGGCAGGGTGGGGGGAGAGAATTCTACCGGGAAAATCCTAGAAGCCGGTGTGGAACGCGCAGTGGGATGCTCGCTGGCGAGTATTCACAACCCCTGCCCTAGGGCCTGAAGCTGACTCCCTCCCTGCCAGGCTGAGTGCTGTCAGGCAGGGAAGGCGGAGCTGGATAGGGGAGTCAGGGGAGCCAGAGGGAGAGCAAGTCCTGCTTGGTCCTGCCAGCTGCTCCCTGGACCTAGGGGTCTGGGAGTCACCAGGCTCCAGGGAGTGGCCCCCCAACCATGGTCAGGGCACCCCTTGCCCATGGGCGGGCATAGGGAGCCAAGTGAGGAAGGTCAGAACAGGGGTGAGGCTGGGGGTGTGATTCCTGCAGCCCTGGACGTGGGCGTGGAAATCCTCTTCGTGGAGACCTCTGCTTGCTCCTCAGGGCTCACCTGAGCTTCCTGACCGATGCTGGGGCCTCACTGCTGGGCCTCACGTGGAAAGAGCCACTGCACACCCCTGGGGCTGGGGGATTTCTGTCTGAGCTGCAATGGGGCTAGTAGCAAAGTATGCAGAATAGAAAAAAAGCGGGGTCCCCACATATCCCGGGGCTCCTGTGGTGCAGCCAGACCCAAAGACCTGCCTGCTGCTGGGAGGACACGCAGACCCTCATGGGCACGTGGCCCTCATCTGTGTCTGTCCAAGCCCCACATCCACGCCAGGGACTGAGCCAGTGTGGGCAGAGGCCTGCCTGCAGCCACAGCCCTCTGACTTGCCACTCTCTGGGGGCCTCCTTTGACTCTCCTTCTAAGCAAGGGATACCTGATCTGAGAGAAGCTGGTTTGCACATCTCCTCTGTCCACACTGCCCTCCCCAGACCCACCCCAGCCTGAGGCTAGATGGAGAGAATAGCCCGGTATGGACACAGGCCACTTTGCACACACAGGGTCTGCACAGTGCCTGAGAGGCCACTCACTCGCTTTGCTTCTTCCCCTGGCTCCCCTTAGGAACTCGGGTTCTCAGGGGAACCTGCCTTACCCCTCCCACAGAGGAACAGTCTCTCCAAGGACCCTGTGGCATCAGCACCCTCAGCTCTGAGGACATGGCCTGTGTTTTATTCCATCCTGACTGAGGTCCAGAAAGGAGGAAAATGCAGGCAGGGTGTCCGTCCACCCTGTGGCCAGCCGGACCCTGCTGGGAACACCTCTGGCTTCGAGGCTCCTCCAGGCAGGATGACGGAGGCCCGAGACCCTCTCGTTTGGCAGCTGTGTACCTTCTTTTGTTCTTCACTGAAGGCCAAGCTGAGCACGGGCTCTGTGAGGTGCTGGGTGGAAGGAAGAGAGTGGCCCCCGCAGTAACACCAGCCTGGCCCCCATCCCAGTCCAAGCGGGGCAAGGGCAGAGCTGACTTCACACTGCCAGATCCCCTGCTTTCGAGTTTGGCCAAGTAGCCTGCTGGCAGAAGAAAACAATGCCACAGGAATGTCAATCACAGCAAGGAAGGGTTTTCTAAGTGGGAAGGATGAGAGACCTTCTAGAAGTTTCCTGGGAAAGATGGTGCAGCTCTTTGAAGCATGGGAGTGGTGGGACGTGATGGGGTCACTGCATTGTGAGTTAGCCAGAGGCAGGAACTGCTGAGCCACACCCCCACCGCCAGGCCACACTGTTCCCCAACACGAGGGCTTTAAAGACGAGTTCTCCAGCAGGAGGAACCCACACGCACGCCTGCAGGGTGCGCCATGTTTGCAGAGAGAAGTCTCTGTGTGATGCTGGCCTGGGCTACTTCTGACTGAGCAGGAGCCCCAGGCAGAAAGATCACCTGAGATCAGCACCAGCTCCTTGTAGCTGCGACTCTGAGATTGCCCTGGGCACACTGGTGAATGTAGCAGTCCAGCTGCTTTCAAATTGCTTTGCAGACTGAGTGTTCCTGACAAAATCAGAAAAGTCATTTCAACTTGATCGCCTTGAAGTGGAACATCCTTCAAGACAACAGAAAGCAGGGGAGGGTGTGGCCCATTTTCTCCAGGCAAATTTAATTCCATTCTGGGATTAGACACACTGGAAAGGCTCAGGACTCCCAAACGTGGACTCCTGGGTCACATCACTCAAGGATGAGGTGTGAATTCGAGGAGGGTGGAAGGTACAATTTGGTGCCATCCCAATCCCCGCATGGCCCTCCATCCACTGTGGGAGCTGTGGCCACTCGGCCTGATTCCCCCTGTTCTCATCAGTAATGCAGGGACGCTATTCTTTCTGCAGGGTCAGTGTCAGGACTAGAAAAATCACTTAAAGACTGTCGCCCAGCAGCTGTCAATAAAGAAGGGCTACCCGGCTCCTCCCCTTCCAGCCCCTTCCTCAGGGCTCTGCAGTCATTTCCTTGGCTCTCCTTTGTCGGCCCGGTAGAGAAAGACTTCCTTTCTGCTGGCCCAGGAGCACTAATAATGGGTCTGATAGCCCAGATTGAAGTTATTGAAGTATTGAGACTCAACTTATCTTCAAAGCTATGCTAGCTGGCACACACCCCCACACCTACACATATGGACACAATGCACACACAGACAAGGACTCACATCTTCCCTGGCCCAGCTTGACAGTGGGAATCAGCTCCCGGCCGGGTGTCGGGGACCAGTACTGTTCTGGGTTTTGTGGAGGCACATGTCCTGCATTCAGGTGACCACAAAGGACCTTGAGATTCCTGGGTGCAGGCGTCAGATCTGCAGCAGAGCAGCCAGTGGGCCTGCACAGCGTCCCTCCAGTGGACTTGCCAGACATACCTCTTGAAGGATTCATCCTTGAGTGTGCCTTTGGGGAGGCAACACACCCAACAGGGATCCCTGAGAGCCCAGCACTCTCCTTTAGAGGTACTGACCTGTGGATGGAAATTCCTCCCTCATTCATAACTGAGGTGCATTAGAAGCCTGAGGCACTTTCGGTAAGGGCTGCCTGTCACAGCCCCACAGTTCAACCACGGCACCTGTCGGTGACTCTCCTTTCCTGCCCTGTCCTCTCTGGGTGGGCACACAGCTCCAGGAAGACATGGACCCCACACAGACAGCCTAGCTTGCATTATTTAAGGCAGGTGCAGTGCACCAGGACAGAAGAAAGCTGCAAGAAATCCAGACCCACTTCTGTTTAGCTTTGAGTGAGTTGGGATATGTTGGAGAACACCTTTCTATTAATATTTCTCTTAGAATGATGCTGAAATTGGCTTATGTGCTCTGGGCACCTAGTACCTGCGGGCTCAGAGGGGAAGGTGTCCCCTAATGGGTCCCTCCTGGTGTCTTAGATTCCATCCTTCCAGCACCCCACTCACCACCTCTGATCCTCAGGGGGAGCCCCTCTCTAGGTTGGGCAAGAACATTTCTTCTTTCTCCATAGCCAAGTGTCCGGTCTGTTCCAGAAAGTGGGTCTTACAACCTGCACCCCCAACTAGAAATCTGCAGATCTTGGAAGGGGAGGGAGTGTGGTACCCAGGAGGGGGCCGTTCTGCTTTGAGCATCTCTAGGCCACCCCTTTGGCCTCTTCTGGGCCCCCTGCTGGCCTCACCAAGAACCATGGACGCGCTGTTTTTATTCTGATGAACAGTGCCGAAATGTCTTTCGACTTGACGAGACACAAAATTTAGGTGCTGAGAGAGATACTTCAATTTCAAGCTTAAAGATTACTTTGGGTCCCCCAGGACTCAGAAGCAATTTAGAGCTGATACCCTGAACAAGAGAAAGGTTAGAAGATTAAGACCAACTGCTGTTTGGATAAATGGTTGGTAATTGCCCATATCCGCAATTATACACTGGCACATAATATCTTTTCCGCTACCTCTCTCCTCTCCTGCGTCCCATCAGGATTGATTCGGAAGGAGCCCACCTTGGCCTTCTTCTGCCGAGCCTTGCTGATGTCGTGCTCTACCTCGTCCATCAGGGCCCTGCACGCTAAACAAGACACAAAACAGCTGTGATCAGAGGAGGAAGAGAGCCGAAGCCAGGCCTGTGCAGGTGGCCTCTTTGGGAGGGGCAGAGTGACTTCCTCTGTGCCATCCTCCAGCTAGAACAGGGACAGTGCTGATGTGCCCAGGACCTAGGGAGGACTCTTGTCCTCTGCAGAATTTTCAAAGATGGCAAGACAGAATTTTTTTTATGTTCCCTTTTGTATTTTGTGTTTTCAAAACCATATGCAATCTACTTTTACATTTAAAATGTGCTTTTTTGTTTTTGAGACAGGGTCTCACTCTGTTGCCCAGGCTGGAGTGCAGTGGCACTATCTCAGCTCACTGCAGCCTCAACCTCCCACACTCAAGCCATCCTCCCATTTCCACCTCTGAGTAGCTTGGACTACAGGCACACATCGCCACACCCAGCTCATTTTTTTTTTTTTTTTTTTTTTAGAGATAGGGTCTCACTATGTTGCCCAGGTAGGTCTTGAACTCAAGACATCCTGCTACCTCGGCCTCCTAAAGTGCTGGGATTACAAGTATGAGCCACCATGTCCAGCCTTAAAATGTGCTTTCCTATTTATTTATTTATTTATTTATTGAGACAGAGTCTCGCTCTGTTGCCCAGGCTGGAGTGCAGTGGCATAATCTTGGCTCACTGCAACCTCCGCCTCCCAGCTTCAAGCAATTCTCCTGCCTCAGCCTCCCGAGTAGCTGGGACTACAGGTGCTTTCCTTAAATACAGCAGATGCTCATCCTCTGAGTCCGTGGGACCTGGAAGCCCCTCTGGGTTGCAATAATTACACCCAAGTAGCTTCTGCACTGTGGGAAAAGTTGGTCAAAACTAGGCCCTTCTCCAAAAGATACATTTTTGCTAGATTTGAAGTCAAAGCAGACTCTCTGAAATTTATTTTTATGGGAAATGCAGCTGGCTTTGTCCCCTAAAATCCCTTCTCCCCAGGCCATAGCTGCCCAATGGAGACAGCTGAGCTGTGCCCTTGGGTCTGAACTCTCACAAATAAAAGATAAATGAAGTGATGCGTCCAACATCAACCTCATTTGCTGAACCGAAAACGGATTCTGGCTTTCCTGTCTGTGGATGGAAGTCAGCATGTCAGAGCCAGCCCAAAGGGATGTGGGAGAAAAGAGACAGCCATGTCAGTGTCCTGAACGGCCACGAGCAGAGGCTGCCTGCCCGTGTGGACGGCTCCCCTGGCTGTGAAATGAGACCCAAAGCTTCCATCTGAGTCACTCTCCCTCTGTCTGTGTTTTGGTCCCTGTTAAAACAGCATAGCCTTTCTCTGCCCAGGACATGACTTGGGCACAGTTGATACTGCGTTTAGTGCTCCCTTCTCATCCTGTGTCCGAATGCTGGCACTGAGGGCACAGGCTGTGTGGACGAGGTCAAAGGCTAGTTGTGAGCGTGAAGCTGGAACACCAGCATGCTCACTGCCTTTAGTTGCTGGGTGTTGCATTCCACGTGTCATGCCCTGGTACACTCCAGGACCTTGTGGTGGTGATTCCAGCACTATCCCCATTTCACGGACATGGCTTGGAGAGATGGAGGGACTTTCCCAGGTGTCTCCCCTACCCAATGTGCTACAGAAATCAGCAGAGCCACTGTTTGAGGACACAGATGGCACTCAGTCCTCAGAGGACCACAGCCTGCGTTCCCTCCCGACCCTGCTCTTAGGGGTCAGTGACCTTCAATCGATGGGAGAGATCATTGATCACTATGATTACCTGTTATTGAGCAGTACATCTAACGAGTGTCACTGGGCTCCTCTGGGGCCTGGAGGTCTCTGACAGAGTGACCTGTCTCTCTGAGGCTTCCAGGAGGAGAATGAAGTTTTCATGGCAGAGGCATGAAAACTTGTGTCTCAGGGGTCCCCATTAGCACTTACTGTTTGTACTTGACACAGTGCACAGGGGCTCAAAGCTACTGACCACAGCCAAGCCCCTTTTCTCTAGGAGCAGGACTTACAGCTCCAAGAATAAATATTTCCTTTCTGGCTCCCTTGCAGCTAGGCCAGGGCCTATAACTTGGTTCTACAACCATGTGTTCTGGAATCTTCCTGAAGAGCCAGTGCTCGCCCTATGCCCTCTCTGACCCACTAAAGGTTGGATCTCAGCTCAGGCCCCAGATCCAGGGTGCCCTGGGAGATGTCAGGGTGAGGAACTCAAAGGCGGGTCCTGGGGCCTGCAAGGGGAGACCTCTGGGCTGACTGGGACAGCACCCTCCACCCTTACGAGAGGGAGACGAGTGTCCAGGTTGTCAAAGCCACTGCTATTTTGAGTTCACTACACTCACACAGACGAGCATCACCTTCCACCTCTGGGATGGAATAAGAAAGGATCCTCCGTGGCCAGTGCTCCCCAGTGGGGGATCTTGGCCAGGCAGGGCCAAGGCTGCCAGGGGAGTGTGGGCCCAGAATCCTGGGCCCACAGGTGGTGGACAACCCAGTAGGCTCAGATGAGGAGTCCTCTAGGAAGAGTCGGCGGTGACCATGTTACTGCTGAGAATGGGGCCACCTGGGACCCCTGAGGACAGCAGGAGCCCAGCTTCCAGACGAGAGTAGGAGGAGAAGGGATGGGATTGTCTGATGTCCTTTACCCTGGCTCCTGGGAGAGGGAAGATGGTGGGAAATGGTGTCTTGGAAGTAGAGGCCAACGCAGTCAGCACAAAGGAGGGGTGGCCCCTGGCCTCCAGGCCAACTTCAGAGGAGCCATGCACAGCCCAAGAGGGTGGCCGCCAGCCAGGTGTGAAGGTTCCCTGAGAACCAGGGTGGGCCCAGCCCAGCATTTCCAGGGGCCCAGGTGGCCTCTGCCCTGACAGCCTCCTCCAGCCCTTCCTGGTGGACCCAGGAGCTGGAGATGGTGCATCCTCATTGCCTGGCTGGCAGAGGACAGTGCTGGCCAACAGAAAGAATGTGGCCTTGCCATCAAGTGCCCAGCGTCAAACCCTGCTGGGCCGTGGGTGAGCATCGCCCGGCTTTACCCAGAGTCTCTCCCATCGTAGGGTGGGGGTTGCACAAGTCTGTAGGCCACTCCACGCCTGCTGTCCCCTTCCTGACCCCACTGACTGCTTGGAATCCCTGACTTGGGCCCAGTGACAAGCTGGGGACCCCGTCTCTCCTCAGCATCTCTCTGCTTTCTGTGCCTGCAGACCTGTGCCCAGGCTCCTGCCCAGCTGCCCCAGCCTGAGCCCGGATGTTCCCTGTGCTGTGATCACCGTGGGTGTCCTTGGCTGCCTGGAGCCCCTCAAGGCTGGACTTGCCGGCAGAAGTGGAAAGGGGCCGGCGAGTGGGCTCAGCTCGCAGGGCTCTCTGGGTCCATATTTTAATGTTCTGCTGCCTTCATTTCAGACCCACATTTCACAAGCACCAAGACAGGCCGTGTAAAGGCAGAGCCCCTTGGAGTGTGCACTTGTCATGCAGCATCGCCTAATGCCCTGAGCGTGGGGGTGGCAGTGGCAGGACCAGGGCACGCTCCCCCACCCAGGCCACGCAGGGCTTCTTGGGGTCAGGGTGGCCCCGTCAGCGAGGGAAGGTGCCGGGCTTCCAACAGGACAGGAGGGCCCCCAGGCCTGCCATCCCTGGCCTCCCCTCGGAGGGGCTGCTCCACAAGAAAAGATCATTTTAAATTTCCGCCCCAGGTCACAAAACAAGTTAACAGAGTCACATCAGCGACCTGGGCTCCAGATTTCCAGTCCAGCATTAATTTAAATGTTAATCTGAAACCTTCACCTAAATCACAGGAGTTTAGAGTTTATTAGAGCAGGCAGCGGGAGTGGGGCCTCATGGGGGGATTGGCAGGTCACGTTGCCTGCCAGAGGGCAAGCCCCCTCCCGCTGGGCCCACCAGCCCCTGCCATTCTGGCTGCCTCCTTCCTTCTCCCTCCCTTTCTCTCTTGGAGGAAGATTTGGAAATGGGAAAGAGATGGAGGTAGATGTCACGACAGATTCAGATGAGCCCCCGGTGGCTCAGGAACCAGAGCCATCTCAAGGGGCTTGCAAGAGCAGGTGGCGTGCACGCTGCTTCCCAACTCCACAGTTAGTGACACCACACAGGTAGCCCGGATCAACAGGGGTGGGAGTATTTACACAACAGGAATAGGCAGATGCTACAAATCAGGACCCCGCCACCACAACACTCCTGCCCACACGCTGCACATGCCCACAGGGGCTGCATGTCCCTAGAGGTGAAGGGATCAATGAATGTCCGAGCATTTGCCATTTTCAAGGTTATGAGCAAGGTGCCAAGAAGCCACTGAGGTCTGAGTCCCAGCTCGTGCCCTCCAGGGAGCTCATGTGTGATGGATGCCATGCCTCCATTCCTCCAGGGTGTCTGGGCCACTGTCCCCACCAGCAGGAGTGGCTATGGGAACCAAGCCATCAAGAGCTGTGGGCAATGTGGATTTTCCTCCAGTGGCCTTTAGGCCACAAGCAGAGGTGACGTCAGAACCACGCGGGGAGCTGCTAGAAGTACAGACCCAGGTCCCAGCCTTGGAGACTCTGAGTCGGGGTCTGGGTTAGGCCTTAGATCTGCAAACGTCTTTGACATGCAAGAGGTCAGTGTGCTCTGCCATGGGGGCCCTCCCTGTCCCGAGGTGCACCAGCTAGCAGCAGCTCTTCTGCACCTTGAGCCTCTCTGGAACAGGTGCTGCTGGCCAGCAAAGAGGGGTGCAGGGGCCACTTTCTCTGGTACCTCAGAGAACATGGCTCATCTCCAGAACAAACAACTTTCTAGCAGTTTCTATGAGCAAGGCAGGAGCCCCAGTACTATGATGGTGGTGATTAAAGTGCTCACACAATTCCTTCCACCCACATTGCATCTCCTGCATGGCTGTGCCCACACTCCTTTGAGGGAAGACGAAGCCCTGACTCCCACAGTTGCAGGAGGCCAGCAAGGCAAATGTGCCGGAGGGGTAGTTCTCCCCCAGCTCCTGCTCCCCAAAGTAGAAATGGCTGATGCCACGGTCTTTCTTCAAGCCTGGTCTCTA